ATCCTCAACTTCGTGAAGACCCACCCACTGATGGACGAGGCTGTACCCTCCCTGGGCCACGCGCCCTGGATCGTGAGGACCCTGATGCGGTCAGTACCAGCCTGGCATGGTGGAGCGGGGGATAGGTCTCAGTCAAGGGGCTATCTTTATCGAGGGGCATGCTGGGCAAGGGCAGCCCATGCAAAGGGCCTCAGGAGGAAAGAGCGTGACTTTCTGGTGTCACGTGGATCAGTGTGTCTGTTGGTGGGTACCTGTGTGACTACTCCCGTGCCCCACAGTTCGGGGATGGGAGGCCTTCGGAGCTTCAGGACAAAGCTGACCTCAAGTCCATCTTGTGTTCCAGGCACCAGCTAACTAGAGTGGCCGTGGATGTGGGTGCAGGCCCATGGGGCAATCAGACAATAGTCTTCCTTGGCTCCGAGGTTGGCACAGTCCTCAAATTCCTCGTGAGGCCCAACTCCAGCGTCTCAGGGACTGACGGGCCCAGCATCTTACTGGAGGAGTTTGAGACCTACCGACCGGACAGGTCTGGGGATGTAACGGGTTGGTGGGAGTGGCTGGCTGACCCAGCGTGGGCTCAGCAGCCTCACGCACCCCCTGTGTGCCCAGGTGTGGAAGATCCGGCAGCGGTGGCGAGTGGGGACAGCGGCTGCTGAGCCTGGAGCTGGATGTAGCCTCCGGCGGCCTGCTGGCGGCCTTTCCCCGCTGTGTGGTTCGAGTTCCCGTCGCTCGCTGCCAGCTGTACTCCGGATGCATGAAGTGAGTGTCTCCCCAAGGCTGGCCCAGGTGGGAGGCGGAGGGAAAAGCTTTCATCCAGAGGTGCAAACTGGGCATCAAACACAGCTGTGTGAAGGCACACTCGAGCGGGGTGGAGCCTGCCCCGGAGGAGCAGTGAGGCTGCTGTGTGCCGGCCGCAGGGAGAACAGACTGTGTGGCCTCAGGCTGCAGCCCGACTTGGGGCTATGCTTCAGACCCGAGCATCCATTTTCATGTGTGAAAATCGGAGAGGAAGTAGGCCAGGCCTCCGGGTCTCACAGTGGGCCACAGCGGTGGTGACCGGAAGACGCATGGTCCCCTGGGTGGCAGTTACATGCTCTATCCTAGGAACTGTATTGGCAGTCAGGATCCGTACTGTGGATGGACGCCCGAAGGCTCCTGCATCTTCCTCAAACCAGGAACCAGGTATGGGGGAGGAGGGCACGTGGGGACGGGTCCCCCCCAACCGGTGCAATGCTGGGGATAAAGGGCTCTGCTGAGTCTGCTTCTTTCCCCCCTCAGTGCCACATTTGAGCAAGATGTGTCCGGGGCCAGCACCTCCGGCTTAGGCGACTGCACTGGTAAGCTAAGAAAGGGGCTCCCCTGTGTGTTGACACGAGCCAGGGTCGCTCAGTCCTGGGGTTAGGGTGGTGGACACATCACAAACTGAGTGAGCTGGAGGCCGGGGAAGGCAGTGGGCAATGACTCAGTGCTCACAGGCGCCCTCTGGTGGCTGTTGCTTTGCGGGCGAAAATGAGATCCATCTGGATGGAGATGAAGGAAAACACACTGATTTCCAGAACAAAACAAAACAAAACACGGACAAGGGGTTGTGGCTCAGGCATAGAGCCCCTGCCGAGAGCCCCCCGCTGTGGGGGCGTGGTCAAGGACGGATCCCGCCTGGGAAGGGCCGTGGCTCCGTGCCTCTCCAGCACGGACCAGACTGGCTTTCCGGTGGGGACCTCTTTGCCACCTTCTGCCCGTCTGTCCCCAGGACTCCTGCGCGCCAGCCTCTCTGATGAGCGCGCGGGGCTGGTGTCGGTGAACCTGCTGGTGACGTCCTCGGTGGCGGCTTTCGTGGTTGGCGCCGTGGTGTCCGGCTTCAGCGTGGGCTGGTTCGTGGGTCTCCGCGAGCGGCGGGAACTGGCGCGGCGCAAGGATAAGGAGGCCATCCTGGCCCACGGCGGCGGCGAGGCCGTGCTGAGCGTGAGCCGGCTGGGCGAGCGCAGGGGCGCGGGCCCCGGGGGCCGCGGAGGAGCGGGCGGCGGCCCCGGGGCGCCCCCGGAGGCCCTGCTGGCCCCGCTCATGCAGAACGGCTGGACGAAGGCGGCGCTGCTGCACGGTGGCCCCCACGACCTGGACTCGGGGCTCCTGCCCACCCCGGAGCAGACGCCGCTGCCGCAGAAGCGCCTGCCCACGCCGCACCCGCACGCCCACGCCCTGGGCCCGCGAGCCTGGGACCACGGCCACGCGCTGCTGTCCGCCACCGCCTCCACCTCCCTGCTGCTGCTGGCGCCCGCCCGCGCCCCCGAGCAGCCGCCCGCGCCGGCCGAGCCGGGCCCCGACAGTCGCCTCTGCGCCCCCAGACCCAGCCGGGCCTCGCACCCGGGCGACTTCCCACTCACTCCCCACGCCAGCCCGGACCGCCGGCGGGTGGTGTCCGCACCCACGGGCCCCTTGGACCCATCGGCGGGCGACGGCCTGCCCAGGCCGTGGAGCCCGCCCGCGACCAGCAGCCTGCGGAGGCCGGGTCCCCACGGGCCTCCCGCGGCCGCCCTGCGGCGCACGCACACCTTCAACAGTGGCGAGGCCCGGCCCGGGGGACACCGTCCCCGCCGCCACCCACCCGCGGACTCCACGCACCTGCTGCCCTGCGGGGCGGGCGAACGGACTGCGCCCCCGGTGCCCTAGACCGGGCAGGAGCCTCGACGGTGCCAACCACAGAGACCGGGCCAGCAGCCCAGGTCACCGAGCCCTGCCGGCGCCGAGTGGGACGCGTTTGTCTCCCACGCACGCGCGGGGGGGATCCCCTCGCCACAGGGAAGCACAAGAGCCCCCTCCATCCTGGAGGATGCAGGACACGAAGCCCCGGGGTGGGCGGGAGGAGGCCGACCTTTGACCTTCTGCGCATAGACTTTGACTTTTGTTTATTTTGAGGTTTTTTTTTTTCTTCTTCTTCTTCTTTTTTCTAAGAAATTGCACAGCCCCATTCTTGGGGTGGCGGCCGGGGTGGGGGGTGAGGACGTAGAGTGAGGGGAGGCAGAGCTGCAGACATGAGCCTTCCCGCCTCAACACATCCTCCGCAGAAGGGACCCCCTCCCCGGTCCCGGGCCCCTGCGTGTGTGGGTGTGTGTCCGTGTGCATGGCCTGTTTGTGTGCAGGGGCCCGGGACAGAAGTGTGCGTGTGTGTGTGTGTGTGAGACAGGGCCGCCGTGGTGTGTGTGTACGCGACTCGGAATGTGGGTGGTGGCGCCCTCAGAGACCCTGGCGTTGGCTGAGCCAATGTTGGGACTTCTGGAGAGTCCAGGGGACGGGGCCTCCGAGGTGCTGGTTTGGAGTTCAAATCCTGCTCCTGCAGAGGGGACCTGGGAGTCCAGGCTGGGAGATGGGGGAACCTGCTTCTAAAGGGCTTGTGGGGGTCTTGGGGGGCAGAGGTGGGCAGACCCCCCTGTAAATACAGCCCTGGGGTGGTCAGAGAGGCCCATGCCACCCGTGCCCCTTGTGACGTCCAGTCTTTGACCGCCAGCTGACCGTGCATGCCACGTGGCCAGCTGAGTCCAGGACCCTCCCCAGCCCTATCCCGGTCAATAAAACTCTGTTTACATCCACCGGCCCCTTCGACTCTGGCTCAGTTGCTGCCTGGGGCGACTAGGAACACTTGAGGGACAAAGTCTGCTCTTAGGTGCACTCACAGGCAAATGGGGGTTTAGCCTCTTAGAACCCTAGGCTGGGAGGGGAGGTCATGGCTAGGTGTGTCGACTTGGGAAACTTTCATAACACCAAGATGCCAACAAGGTGGAATGAGCTGGGTGCTGGGCTCAGTGTGTAAAACACTTCCTGTGCAAGCATGAAGATCTGAGTTTGAATCCCTTAGCACTCGCAGAAAACTCTGGTGCCACTTGCCTAGAGTTTATTTTAGCACTGGAGAGGCAGAGACAGGAAGATCCTGGGACTCTCTGGCCTTTGGCAGGCCAGCCTAGCCCAACCAGGGGGAGGCCCTGTGCAATGAACGAAGTGGAGAGCGGCTGAGAAAGAGGCCCTGTGCATGTGTGTGCCTGCGCACCAAACATACATTCAGCCAAAGTTGTCCTCAAGGGCAAATTCACAGCCTCAACATGCATTTTGCTATTGTAGTATTTAGTGTTGTCTGACAGTCTCACTATGTAGCCCAGGCTTGTGTCAGAGTAGGAGTACCCTCCTGCCTCCACACTGCAACCCCTGAGTGCTGTGATGGCGTGTGAGGTGCCACACTGTCTTCAGAACAGACGCGTGCACACACTGCATTGCCGAACGGAATCATCAGGGGATCTCTTGAGGGCTGGAGAGATGGTTCAGGGGTTAAGAGCACAGGGTGCTCTTCAAGAGGTCCTGAGTTCAGTCCCCAGCAACCATAGGGTGGCTCAAACCATCTATATGAGGTCTGGTGCCCTCTTCTGGCCTGCAGGCGCACATGCAGGCAGAATACTGTATACAAAATAAATCTTTAAAAAAAGGATCTCTTGAAGACGGAGTCCAGGTGTGCAGGTGAGGAAACTGAGTCCCAGAGTCCCAGAGAACCTAAGCCACCTGCTTCCTTTCATTGTGGAGGACCACAGAATCAGAACCTGCATTGTCCCTTGCTCAGTAGGAAAGCTATATGAACATAAAAAAAAAAAAAAATGAATCCAGTATACCCAACCAGAGAGTTTTTCCCGTGAGCTTTCTGCTGTTCCCTATTCCCTGCTCAAAGAGCAGCCAGGTCCCCAATCACACTGCAAGCTCAATCCCTAAATCCTGGGAGGGAGAGGTGGGGACTCAGCCCAGGAGACACTGGGTGGGATGGCCCCCTGGCTGGAAGAAGAAACTGGAGTAGGGCCGGGAAGGGGCGGGCAAGAAGCAGCAGCCACTGCCTGGAAGGGATGTAGCAATGTTGACCTGCCCCCGAGCTCTTCCTGCTTTGCCCCAGAGTTAGGGTGGGGACCGTATGAAGAAAGCCACCTTCCTCTGTCCTCCAGGATAGACTCAGAAGGAAAAGAGGAGCAGCCATGGCCTCTTGGTGGCAACAAGGAAGGTAGGTCTCCATCTGACCATCTGACCGGTGCTGGGTAGACGTGGCACCAGGCCAAGAACAGCCATAGGGCATAGATCTGACCCAGCAAGGCTGCCAGGGACAGATGCAGGCCTGCAGGCTGTACAGACAGACCACCAGAGGCCCCTTGGGCAGGGATGGGAGAGGACGCCTGCTGGAGGCCATGGTCACAACCACTGCCGTGGGGAAGCCCCAGACCTTGGAGGGTTGTGGTAGACCTGGACCCCGAATTCTCCCTGAGTATCCAGCAGTGATCCCACAACCCAAAACAGAGCTGGAGAAAAGGAGCTCAGTGCGGAAGCTTCTGCCTTCCTAAGAACACATTGTGGCTGGCGTTTTGCAGAATGGAGTCCATTGACTCTCCCTTCCAAACATGTAACTAGGGAGATAGGAAGAGACCCAGGACACCGGCCAGATTAGAAGTAACTAGGTGCCTGGCTGTGACTAATTGATAACTGCTGACGGGCTGGGGCCGGCGGTGAGGGAGGAAGTGTGTACGGGTCAGACCCAGGGACTTAACTGTCATGGAGGTCAGATTCGCTGTTGAACCTGATAGGGGCGGCTTCTGGAAGCCGAGGGGAGGCAGCAGGTGAGAGCGAAAACCAGGGCAGAGTGTGACTGAGATTTTGCAGGATGAATAGAAGTTCACTGGCTCTGCCTACTACCCACTCAGGTAAGGGGACAAAAACTAGACTCAGGAAACACAACCATGAGGACCATATTGTCCTGGTCCTGGGGAGGAAGGACTCGGGGCAGTCCAGGGTGCTGGCCAGCGGGGTGGCAAGAAGGGGATAACATTTTCACCATGGCCCACTGATCTCAGCCCCCAGAGCCTCAACCCCTGCCTTCCCAGAACCCTGCTCCTCCTGGCGCTCTTGGGGATTTCGGCTGAAAGCAGCGTGTCAGGCCTCAAGGAATGCCTGATAGCGCAGTCGGCTCGGGGCAGCACCGTCTCCTGCCACGGTCCCACTGAGTTCCCGCGGCCCCTCCCGGCCGACACCGTCCATCTGTCGGTGGAATTCTCCAACCTGACGCAGCTGCCCGCAACCGCCCTGCAAGGGTGTCCCCGCCTGCGGGAGCTGCACCTCTCCAGCAACCGCCTGCAGGCGCTGCCCCCGGGGCTGCTGGCCCCCGTGCCCGGGCTGCGTGTTCTGGACCTGACCCGGAACGCGCTCCACGGCCTGGCCCCCGGGCTGTTCCGCGCCTCGGGCGCCCTGCGCACCCTGGTCCTGAGGGAGAACCAGCTGCGGGCGGCCAGCGAGCGGTGGCTGTGGGGCCTAAGAGCCCTGGGCCACCTGGACCTGGCAGGGAACCGGCTGCGCTCACTGCCCGCCCGGCTCCTCGCCGGCCTCCACGCCCTGCACACCCTCGACCTTGGGGACAACCTGCTGGAGACGCTGCCCGCGGGGCTTCTGCGGGGCCCGAGGCGGCTGCAGCGCCTGCACCTGGAAGGGAACCGGCTGCAGAGGCTGGGGGATGGCCTGCTTGCGCCCCAACCGTTTCTGAGCGTCCTGTTCCTGAACGACAACCAGCTGACCACGGTGGAGGCCGGCGCCTTCCGGGGCCTAAGGCAGCTGGACATGTTGGATCTGTCCAATAACTCTCTGACCAGCACGCCCCCGGGCCTGTGGGCGTCCCTGGGGAGGCCGGCCCGCGACATGCAGGAGGGCTTCGACGTCTCCCACAACCCGTGGGTCTGCGACAGAGTCCTGGCCGACCTGTGCCGCTGGCTGGACGCCAACAGACACAAGATGTTCTCGCAGAACGACACGAGATGCGCAGAGCCCGAGGCCATGAGGGGACGCCGGCTGCTGGACCTGGCGGAGCTGCGGTCCCTGTGAGGATGGCGAATGGAGTGAGGGCCGGGGACACCCCGCTCGCCCCTGAGCCAAGCCGCTCAGGTCTCGGCACGCAGGCTCCCAGCCTCTGCCTTTCCCGGTCTCCTCTGCCTGGACTGCTGGTCCCTGGCTTCCTCTCCGGCTCCTCCCTGCCCCCACCCTTCCACCTCTCAGTCCTCCTCTGCCCGACCCCAGCGCGCCCCGTGTTCAGCTAGCTTTGACCGGCCTGTTTCAGGGGTCCCACAGAGGTTAGTAAAACAGCTCCTTAGGCTGACTGAGCGGCTCAGCGTTTGCGCAGTTCCCCCTTTTATGTTTGTTTTGTGTGCATGAGCCACAGCGAGCTTGGGTAGGTCGGAGGACAGCTCGCAGAGTGGGTTCCCTCTGTACACCATGTGGCTGCTGGGGATTTGAACTCAAGTCCTCAGGCTTAGCAGCAAGCTCCTTCACCCGTGGAGCCATCTCGCCCATCCTCTCTCTGCCCTATGAGGACCTGCAGCTCACTGAGCTGCCGACGAGACAGCTCCAGAATCCTCCTCTGCCCCCCAGAGCCAGGGTCACACACGAGCCACTGTGCCCAGCTTTTCCCTTGGTGCTGGGAATACAAACTCGGGTCTTCAGGCTTGCCTGGCAGGCACCTTACCCACGGAGCCTGCTCTCCAGACGTCTCACTGTGCGGCCCTGGCTGTCCTGGAACTCTCTCTGCAGACCACGCTGGCCTCAAACTCAGAGATCCTCCTGCTTCTGCCTCCCCAGTGCTGGGATCGAACTACACATGAACTACAGCTTTAGCTTTTCATCCTCTAGGCAGAGGGACTCTGCCCCTGAGAGGCGGGGTGGACGCTTTTCTTGTCCTCTCTTTTATTTTCTTTTCTCCTCTTTTCTTTTCTTTTCTCTTCTCTTCTTTTCTTTCCTCGTCTCTTCTCTTTTTTCTTTTCCTTTCCTCTTTCCTTTTTCTTTTCTTTTCCTTTTTCCTTTCCTTTCCTTCCCTTTTCCCTTCCCTTCCCTTCCTTTTTTCCTTTCCTTTCCTTTCCTTTTCTTTTCTTTCCTTTCCTTTCCTTTTTCTTTTCCTTTCCTTTCCTTTTTTTCATAAAGCCCAAGCTGGCCTCAAACTTGCTCTGTGGCCTAGGATTATTTGAGCTCATGATTCTCCTGCCTCCACCGTGTGGCTCAGAGTAACAACATCTGCTTCAGCAAGACCGAGCTTCTCACCCCAGTCCTGCAGAGAGAGCTAAAGAGAGTGGGTATAAAGCCTTGGGCCTCAGTTTGCTGATCTGTAAAATGGGGTCTGAAGTGACAGGATCAACAGCTCTCAGGATTAAACCGCAGATTAAAAATAAATCTGGCCAGCTGGTAGAGGTGGCGCATGCCTGTAATCCCAGCACTCGGGAGGCAGAGGCAGGTGGACCTCTGTGAGTTTGAGGTCAGCCTGGTCTACAAAGCGAGTCCGGGACAGCTGGGGCTACACAGAGAAACCCTGTCTCAAGAAAAAAAAAAAAAAAAAAAAAGAAAAAGGTCCGGCTGGAAAGACAGTGGTTCAGTGGTGAAAAGCTCAGGCCAGGGTTCGAATCCCAGCATCCACAAGATGGTTCACTGCCACGTCATTCCAGTCCCAGGGGGGTCTGTCAGTTTCTCCGGCCCCTACAGGTACCAGGTACCTGTGGTGCACAAACAGACAGAAGAACACCGGGACACATAAGTGTAATAAAAATAACAAAGGAAGCTGGGCCTAGTGGGCCTCAGGGGCAGAGCTAGCCCAGCACCCAGGGCTCTGAGTCCATGTCCAGCACTGCCTAACCAGGCATGGTGGGGCACATCTGTTAGCTTAGCCGTTGGGTGGTGAATCAAGACCATCTTTGGCTACGTAGTTAGTTTGAGCCTATCCTAGGCTACAGAGTGAGCCTCTGATTCAAAATAAAACAAGCGGAAAGAAAATTAAGAATCAAAAAGTCCTCGGTCTAGTCCGGGGTCAGTTGCAGTGACCGGACCTGGACGACCTGGACCGCAGAGTCCCAGGGTCGCCATGGCAACCAGGCGCGTGATGGGGAGCGGATACACCCCCGGAGCCTCATTGGCCTGCGCGGAGGCCCCACCCCAGACCTGCTATAAGAGCCGCGGGCTGGCTCGGGGTAGGGGCGCCTGGGATATCCGCGAGGTCTGAGCTTCGGACCCAGGTGAGGGCGCATGAAGACCTTCCCAACCCGGTGAAGGGGACGGCTGCGCATGCGCAGAGCCACAGGCGCAGCAGGTGGCGGGACCCTTGGCCCAGTGGGCCCCGGGCCCAGGACCCAGTTGGGCGGGGCCCAGGCGCAGAGGACAGTGGGACGGCCATGGTGGGGACGCGCAGGGCGGGTGTGAGCCCTGAGGTCAGTGGCCCTGTCACTCTGGACAGCTGAGGGTGACCTCGGAGCTCCACAAGCTCCTTGTACCCCCAACTTCTCTGCCTGTCCAAGGGACCTGAGTCTGCAGCTGCTACCTCCACCTCCGCAAGGGGGGCTGCTGTGCGGGTCTGTCCCTGCTGGAAATGGACCAGAGAGGTGAAGACACCGGTGTGGTGCCACACAGCAGGTAATAATGAACTCTGAACTCATCTTCGTCCCCCAGGGCTCACCCCTGTCCCCCGACAAAGCCATAGGGGTTTCATTAGCCGCCTTCAGTGTGCGGGGCCTTGTGCGTACCTTGCCAACGCACCCCAGGATACCCCGCGGGGCTGACCTAGGGGTTCCCTCCCTCTTTGTGTCCTATCCCCTCCCAGGGTGTCGGATGATGAATCAGCTCAGGACCCTGGATCCACCCTGGGGGAACTGGGCCAGCAGGTGAGGGACTGAGAGAGGGACAGCAGCAGGGGTGAGCGGGCGGAGGGCGCCTCTGAGGAAGCTTCGTGGCTGGTTCCCGCTTGACCAAGCTCCATACGACTGGTGTGTCACCCATTATCAGTCACTACAAGGATGGCACCGAGCTCAGGCTACAAACTGTGGGGAAACCGAGGCCCCGAGAAGCCGGGTGTCTCCTGGGCTCCCTAACCGGGGTCCTCATCCGGAGGACCAGACGGTGCCCTGTGGCTCTGTGCGCTCGCTGACTGGTGTAGCCTTTGGCCGGGCAACCTGCTTTCCGTCCCGCAGCCGGTCCCGTAGGAGGGATGTGGGGTATGGCTGTGCCCTGATGCCACTGTTTCCCTTAGAACGCGGTGAAGCGCGTGGTGGCCTTGCCCCTGGTCAAGGCCACGTGCACGGCCGTGTCTGGTGCTTACAACGCTGCCAAGGACAGGCACCCGCTGCTGGGCTCGGCCTGTCGCCTCGCTGAGCACTGTGTCTGCAGCATGACCGCCTGCGCCCTGGACCGCGCACAGCCGCTCCTGGAGCACCTGCAGCCCCAGCGTGAGTCTGAGGCCCCGCCACAGGCCCCACCCTGGTGTCCAGGAACCGGGTGTCCCTCCCCGGCCCGTTCACAGTCTCTTCCCCCTCCTTTTTGTCTTGTTGTGTTTGTTTGGTTTTGTTTGTCATTTTTCTGAGTCAGTTTTTCTCTGTAGCCCAGGTTGGCCTGGTGTGCTCGGCAATCCTCCTGCCTCAGCGTCCTGAGTGCTGGGATGATGGGTGTGCATTACCACATCCTGTTTATTCAGTGCCGGGAACCCACACGTAGTGGGCCAAATCCCTTCCTGGGTCCCCTCGTGGTCCCTTGCCTTTCCTACCTTCCAGCATCTTCCTTGTCTCGGGTCGCTGACTCAGGGTTCCCACCTGACCAGGGGACCAGAGACCCGTGGTGGACTGCATACTGAAGAGCATTGTCCCTGCCGGCCCTCAGCTTTTCTGTTGTTCCCAAGACCCTGAGTTGGGCTGGGCTGAGGGGCCCAGCAGGGCACAGGGGAGACTGAGTTCGATTGCTGGAACATCCCAGGTCCCCTGTGGCCTCATGTCCCTCCTGCCATAGCTCTTCACATGTCCCATCGCTCTCCCTCTCTCTTCAGTGGCCACAGTGAATGACCTTGCCTGCCGAGGACTGGACAAACTGGAAGAAAAGCTACCCTTCCTGCAGCAGCCGTCAGACCTGGTACTGGAGCTGAAGTGACCTCAGCCCCCATCCTTGCCCCCTCAAGGGTGAAGAGAGAGGGAGGACTTGGAGGGAAGCAGACTTGTATGGTGTGCTGGCTGGAGGGGGAGAGCGTCAGGGCCACATATTTAATGAAGGGAAACTGAGGCACAGAACTAAGAAGAGGTCCAAATGTCTTGGGGAATCACTGTTCCAAGGGCTATGCTGGGGGTGAACGGAGGAACAAGCCCACAGCGCCCAGAGTGACACCCCTCCTGCAGGTGGTGACATCAGCCAAGGATGCAGTGGCCAATAGCGTCACAGGCGTGGTGGACCTGGCCCGGAGGGGCCGGCGTTGGAGCGGGGAGCTGAGACGCTCGGTGAGCCAAGCCATGGACATGGTGCTGGTGAAGTCAGAGGAGCTGGTGGATCACTTCCTGCCCATGACTGAGGATGAGCTAGGTACTAATCAGAAAGGCCTGGCCGGGGCTTGCCTGAGGCCGCACAGCCCAGTACAGGGAGAGCCAGGACCCAACCCAGGTTGGCTCTCTTTCTCCTCTCTGCGCCCCAGAAAACCAGGCACTCGAACCCCCCCCCCAAAAAAAGGTGACTTTCGCATGTGACAAACCAGTCTCAAACTGGTGCCCCTGGAAACTGCTGGCTGGTGACCACCGGGCCTGGCTCTGATCTTTTTTTTTTTTTTTATTTTTAAGATTTATTTATTATTTATATAGTATTCTGCCTGCATGCCAGAAGAGGACATCAAGTCTCATTGTAGATGGTTGGGAGCCACCACGTGGGTGCTGGGACTTGAACTCAGGCCATTTGAAGAGCAGCTAGTGCTCTTAACCTCTGAGCCATCTCTCCAGCCCCTGCTGATCTAATTTTTAAGAGGCTGTTCGACAGAATCAGGCCTGGGGTTGACTCCTGGGTCTGCCCCTGGCATGCTAAGACCTTTCAGAACAGTTTTCAAAAGTGTGTCTGCGCACACACGTGCGCACACTCATGTGTCACAGGTACGGGGGGGGGTGGTTAGAGGATATCTTTGGCAAAGTAACAAAAATAAAGAGCAGGTCATGGGGTTTGAGGAAGGTACAAGTGGGGACCTTGGCGCTGCTCTGGGATGGGGGAGGGGCAGCTATGTCCTTGCCAATCCCCTGGTGTCCCTGTCCTTAGCGGCCCTGGCAGCAGAGGCCGAGGGTCCGGAAGTGGGCTCCCTGGAGGAGCAGAGGCGGCAACAGGGCTACTTTGTGCGTCTGGGATCCCTGTCGGCACGCCTCCGCCATCTAGCCTATGAACACTCTTTGGGGAAATTGAGGCAGAGCAAACACCGCACCCAGGACAAGCTGGCCCAGATACAGAAAACCCTGGAGCTGGTGAGCAACCTATTCATGTGTTGGGTCAAGGCTGTGGGGGTGTGGGCGGAGCTTCTCCTGGGGTGTGGGCGGGGCTCTAGCTGGGTGTGTGAGCAGAGCTTCTCCTGGGTGTGTGGGCGGGGCTCTAGCTGGTATGTGGGCGGGGCTGTCCCTGGGGCTCTAGCTGTGGTGTGGACCCGGCTCTTGCTGGGGTCGGAGCTGGGCTCTCATGGAGGGGAGGGGGGCTCCCAGGGATCTGAGTCTACAGGGAAAAGAGACCCCATCCCTGCCCCCATCTGGAAGTGTCACCTAGGTCCCAGTTCAAATTTCAGCCATCCCCCAAACTGGCTGCCTTTTCACTTTCTGTTCCCATCCCAGCTGAGGCCGTGGTGCGGGAGAGGGCCCTTCATCTTTTCTACCTACCTGCTGGCTAACAAATCTGCCTCCAAATTCCTTGCCCAGTCCACCTTCTTCTCCCCATCCCCTCATAGCCCCACACCCACCGCAGCTGCACACAAGTGGTTCTGCCCTCAGCTGGCCCAGAAAGGTCCTCCTCACAGTGCACACCAGAGGTGAACACAGTCTGGGTCCTCCCTCTCCTGCCCCCCCTCCACCCGCCCCCGCTTGCTCACACTAGGTTCTACCCTGCCCCAGGGCCTTTGTCTGGGACCTTCTGAGAGTAGGACTCAGAAGCACGTGGCTTTGCACTCATGGGGAGCAGGTGTTGGAGTTTCCTCTCTTGGCTGAGTAGTATTCCCTAGCAACTGTGTATCATGCCCACTCAGTTTGTTCGCCGGTGCGGCAGGGCCTTTGCAGCGTGGCCTATGCCTCGTCACACGCTCCACCCGGGTGACCTTTAGTTTCCTGTGTGTCAGAAGCTTCCAGACGATCCCCGTTCCCAGTCCTGGGATGGGGCGGGACTGCACACATGCTGTGGAGGGGCTCAGCACTGAGCCCTACGGGCCCTCCTCACACCTGGCTTGTGAGCACCTACTGTGCGGCTGGCCGGCCTGTCCACGCCCGCCCACAGCAACTGAGTGGCTTCTCTTAGCACATAGTTTGGTTACTAAACGCTTGTTGAGAAAGCTCACTGTGCTGCATGCTTCACCAGCTGTATGGGGCAACTGGATCTTGCAGTGCCCATCTCTTTGTTTTCAAACACCTGCTCTATGGGTTACTGGGGCGTGGTGGTGCAGGCCTGGCAGCCTGGCGCTCGGGAAGCCGCAAAGCTGTCCCACCACCATCGTCTCCATACATGGAGGCTCTGTCCATGTTCAATATTAATTCCATCCTCACCAGCACCCATTCCTACCCTCCCAGCTCCTGTCTGTGTGTGTGGGGCTGGGGAGCCGTGGGAGCAGATCTGTGCTGGGTATCTCCTCCTCTCGCCCACTGAACCTTGTGGACCACTCTTCCTGATGAATACTATTCTCCTGCTTGGATGTACCATGCTGTCACTGTCCATTCGCCTTCCTCAGGCAGAAGACTGGGGCAGAGCAGAGGGACCCATGGGGACAGGGCTGTGACAGTGAGGGTCAAGAGGAGCAGAGGGGAGAAGGGGCGGAGGGGCAGGCTGGTCAGCAGAATGCAAGGCTGGCTGCATTCAGACAGTGTTCACCAAGGGCTGCTGCAGGCCCACTCACCTCAACACCTCCAGCCTGACTCCTGGTGTCCCCAACCCACAGATTCACTGTATGCAGAGCGGGGCAAGCCCCGCCCCTGCTGTCCATCCCCCAAGGGAGCAGCAGCTGTGGGGGGGCCTGAGCCCATGGCAAGAGAATGGGCGCAGCCACAACCAGGTAAGGGACCATGGGGAAGGCAGGACCACTCTGGGCCTGGGACAGGAACCTTGTGTGCCACAAGCCAGGCTCAGGTGCTCTCAGTCACCAGGTCAGGTGTCCATGAGGGAAACTGAGGCAGAGCATATACTCTCTTTTGTATCCATGAGGTAAAGTATAACAGAGCTATCTGTCCATAGAGGAAACTGAGGCAGGTCAATCCTGTTAGATGTCCATGTGGGAAATTTAGGTCAAATTATTGTGTTTAGGAGAAAATGAGGCAAGCCAAGGCCTTCACATTAGAATTCTTGGGGAAACTGAGGCAGGCCAAAACTTCCTTAGATGTATGGGAAAACTAAGGCAGGCCAAACTAAGGCATCCTGTTAGATGCATGGGGAAACTGAGGCCTGCCCTTGCAGGTGGAGCTGGAGACGCTGGCCCTGTCTCGCAGCCTGACCCTGGAGCTACAGAGTGCAGTGGACGCCCTGGCAGGCTGTGTGCGGGGCCTGCCACCCAGTGCCCGGGCCAAGGTGGCCGAGGTGCAGCGCAGCGTGGACGCCCTGCACGCTGCCTTTGCTGACGCGCGCTGCCTTGGGGACGTGGCGCCCACTGCTCTGGCTGAGGGCCGGGGCAGTGTGGCCCGGGCGCACGACTGTGTGGATGAGCTGTTGGACTTGGTCCTGCGGGCTGTGCCACTGCCCTGGCTGGTGGGGCCCTTTGCACCTATCCTGGTTGAGCGGCCGGAGCCCCTGGTCGACCTGGCCACTTGTGTGGATGAGGTGGTGGGTGACCCTGACCCCCGCTGGGCACACATGGACTGGCCAGCCCAGAAGAGGGCCTGGGAAGCTGAACACGCAGACCCAGGGGGAAGAGAGGCCGAGCCTCTGAGTGGCCAGGTCAAGCACACACTGATGCCAGAGCTGGACTTCTGACCATCAAGGCCCCTCCTGTCCCCCGGTGGTCACACACTCAGCAGACCAGAGCTTCCGCTCCCAGACCCCAGCAGGCGACTTTCAACCCCTCACAGGAGACTCTCCCTCTCCTACGATCCAAAGCTGACACAAGAGAGGCTGAGGCAGGAGGACTGGGTTTCAGGCCAGCTTGAGCTGCCTTATCAAGATTGTCTCAAAGGAAAAACAAAAGCAAGTTGGCTCCAAGGAAGACAGGTGGCCTCAGTACCTACTGGGTGCTTGGAGCTCCTCAAATCAAACATTTTTGGCTGGTGAACCTCCAAGATGCCCAGATAACCCTGCTGGGCCAGAGTGGCCCAGCTGCTTTGCTGTTTGTGGTCCGGAATAAATGTGTTTGCTGTGCTCTGAGGTGGGTCTTGGAACTTGGGTGCTTGGGGTTTTCAGAGTGTGACTTTAGGAAAGAGGGGACAGTTTTGAGCCAGTGTTCAGGGACAGTACTTTTCTTCCCCAGCTGCATGGAGTAGCTTGGGTCAAACCTCGTCCTCCTCAGTCCACATAAGTGAAGTCATTTTTACGCTAGTATGAATGAGTTTTGGGAACCTCTCAGGAGCAGGAGAAGAAGGGGGTGCCACAGGGTGGCTTCTTCCCCCCCCCTCACTGGACCTGCAGGCGACAGTCAGACTGCAGCTTCCGTGGCTGCACTGGTGAAGGGTTGTGGCAGATGAAGGCAGGGCAAAGGCCGGCCGGGTCCCACTGGGCCCTCCCGGCCTCTTCCCGCATTCTTGGCCACCCTGCTGGCTCCTGGAACTGGGCAGCATGTTGGGAAACCACTGTTCGGTGTGGTGAGGTCAGGGTAGCCCCTGGCTTTTCTGGAGCCCGGACTGGATGGTCTGGCACTTTCGGAGACCCCATAGCTCCCTAGTGCTCAGAACAGGCACAAACCTCCTTCAGCCCAATGCCGCCTCCTCCAGGAAGCCTTGTGGATTGTTGGGGGCAGGTAGGAGCTGGCAGCAGAAGAGGGAGCCAGCTGCACTGCTCCCATCCTATGCTCTCTTCCCCTGGCCCCTGCCACCCTCGGGAGCAATAGCTGGGGCCATCCTCTTCTGTTCCAAACTGTCACACTACAACCAAGACCCCGAGGAAACAAAGCCTGGAAGCTCTTCCCCCGGTTTGGCACCAGAGCTAAGTGCTCCATCGTTGAAGCTGGGACCCCTGTCCCAGGGGTACTAAGCCTGGGACAGAGCCAGGGTGGGAGTGTGCTCATTCTGCTCGGCCACTCCACTGACAGCCCGTTTAGCATACTGTGAGATCAGGGGCCCCAGGCCCAGGATGCTCCACCAACACACACACTGGCTAGGCGAGGTCCACCAAAGTTGTGTTCTCCCATTTCAGGCCAAGTCCCTTCAGTAGAGGGATGTGTCACTGCCCTCCACAGGACACACACTCTTCTCTTGGGGACCTGTTTCTGCCCCAGGAACGGTAAGGTAGTGTTGATGACTGCTGCTCACTTATGACCTCATTTCAAACTCACATGAACCTTTAGTTGTCCCCATCTAGCAAGTGTTTCCTAAGTGTCTGATGTGTGCCAGGCACTGTCCTAGTGAAGGATGTAAACAGCATGATGAAGGTGAGGCTGTGTGGGAGTCTAGAGGAAGGTGTAACAGGCAGGAGCAGGAGCATGGCCTGTGCAAAGACCTGGGGCAGAGGACACGGCTGTGCAAAGGCTCTGGGCAAGAAAGGGTCTGAGGTGTCGGGGGAGGCCCCTGTGACTGGAGTAGATGGAGCTGGGCAGGCAGGGGAAGAGTGGAAGGAGGGAGGCAAGGAAGCTAGCTGATGAGTCTAGAAGGGGAAACTGAGACCCAAAGTGGTGCCTGGTCAGGCGTCCCATCTCAGGAAAGGAGAGGCAGAGAGCAGGCAGTCTCCTGGGGGCACAGCTGGCCGGTGAGTCACTGGGCCTGCGGCGGATACCGAGCAGAGGCGGCCTGGCCTGGGTGGAGAGCGGGGGAAAGGTGCTGGGCCGGGTCCACACTGGCCCAGGCCGGCAGGCATGTGACACCTCCCCTCCCAGCTCTCTGGCCGCCTGCCTGGGCCGGCCAAGCCCGCACCCTCCCCAGACCCTATAAGGCCTGGGAACTGGGAGCCGAGGCACTGCCAGCAGCTGTTCTGCTCCGAGGGACCCTACACGGTCCAGGGGAGCCCAGCTGCGTCACTCAGCACCAGCCGCCTCCAGGTGGGTGAAGGGGGGTGTCCGTAGGGCTTGGGGTGGGGATGGAACAAGAGGTTGCCCTACCATGTGCCACTTTCTGCCCCGTTCCAGCCCCACAGGCTGCCATCATGTCAGCTCCAGGAGATGGGACCAGGGGTCCCCCCAAATCCAAAGGCAAGGTAAGAGAACAGAAGGCCACCCTGCCAGGGACCCTGGGAAGGTAAGCCCAGTGTCCACTCAAGCTGCCCCCATCCACCCCACGCAGACCCTGAGCAGTTTCTTCGGGTCCCTGCCTGGCTTCAGCTCTGCCAGGAACCTGGTGTCCCACACTCACAGCTCCACGAAGGACGCACAACTAGCAACAGACCCCACGGGGATTCCAGTCCCCATATCTCCAGGTGAGTGGCACAAGGGGAATGATGGGGGACTGAGGGGCCAGGCAGAGCGACTGCCCAGGAAGGACTTGTGGCAATCCTGGTGACCTTGTGTCTGTATTATCTCTTTAGATGGGGAAACCGAGGCACAGATACTGGGCAATAGAGCCAGGGGAAGAGGGAGTGTAAAGCCTGCCATGGCCCCTCTGCTCTTAGCACTAGATATCAGGCTGCCTGAGCTTGTCAAAGATACTCAGGGCCGGCAGCTGCCCCAGGGTCACACAGCGTTCTGGGACTCAGCCGTGGTGCCTGCAGTAGGCTACCTCCTGCCTTGAAGGTCACATACGTCTGACAGGCAGCTGGCAGCTGCGGCAGGAAGGCACCACTCTCCAACTGCAGGCTCCATGGGCCCATAGGGTGCAGGGTGGGTGTCCAGCACCTAGAGCCCGGCACAGAAAGTCCTCCCAGAGTCTAGCTGCAAGGCCCTGTGTCACAGGACCATTCCTGCCGAGGCCGGGTAGGGGAGGGAGGCTGGGCTCAGCTCCTGCTTGTGGATGCCACCTCCTGCTGTCCCTGGCCTGCGGTGGGGACATTCCTGTCCTTTAGGGCCAGGCCTAGTAATTGCACAACAGCAACAGGCTTGAACTGGAGCCCTGTCTCTCACTCCCCACCTGGCTCTGTCTCTCCAGCCTCCACCAACTCGCAGGGGACGGCAGCGGGTCCCACAGGCCTGTTCCAGCCTTCTGAACAGGTGAGCTGGGTTGGAAGACCCTGGACAGGAAACCTGGGCATTGTCTGAGAGGTGCAAGTTCCTTCCATGGGGTGGAGGTTCCCAGTACATTCTCCACCCTGGACCTCAGTTTTCACAGCCGGGAAATGGGCACAAGTTCTCAGCAATCCTACATAAGGCTCTGTGCTCAGAACTTAACCATGAGTCCTTTCCTGCTCCTGAGGACAGAGGGACTGTGCCCCACAACACAACATGACAGGTGCAGAGAAACCAAGGCAGAAGACCCCACCCTCATTTCTGTGATCCCTGTCTGCCCTAAGCACCACTAGGATCAAAATTCTCAGCCAGCAATGCTGGGGCCACACCCTGGAGACTCAAGTCAAGTCACATCCCTGGCAGCCTGCTATTCCCTCTATGTTGGCAACAATTAAGCACCCATGGAATACCTTTATTCACCCTCCTGACCTTGAAGAAAGTGTTTTTTGTTGAAAACAGAAAACAACCTGAATCAGGGTCTCATGTAGCCCAGGCTGGCCTGCACTTTATGTTGTAGCTGAGGCTGCCCTTGAGAAAGACTTTCAGGTTTGTGTGCCTCTGCACCTGGTTTACAGGCTGCTGGGGATGAAAGCTGGGACTCCATACGTGCATCCCCATGCCGAGCTTCAGCGCCAGCCCCAGGAGGCACGGCTCTATTTTCTAGGTAGGCTGTAGGTTTCTGAGGAAGGTGGCACTGAATGTGCAGGGAAGAGCTGGCGGTTCAAGCCCAGGGCACTGTGGAAAGCACAGTGAGCGCTCAGGCTCACTGGGTGGACGCTGTGGGGCGCACCCTGGGCCCAGCCTCCATCCACTCAATGCCTGTGGCTTCCCTTCTGAACAACGTCAGTGTCTGAAGGTATGCCCAGAATTCCCTGGGGAAGAATTATCTGCCTGGAGCTGCTCAGGGGCAACCCATCTCCACCATCCAGCACTGTCCCTTGGGCCACATTCCCTGGCCACTATGTAGACTTCCCTGGCTACATAGTGAACTTTGGGTTATATGAGATCCTGTATCAAAGGACCAAGTGACAAGAGTGTGTCCTCTGACCCCGTGGGCCCTTGGCATGCTTGAGGTTTTTCATAGACCAGTGGACAATGGTCTGAGAGAGAGTCTCTGTCAAGTAGGGTTTTGGTTTTTGTTTTTTGAGACAGGGTCTCACACTATAGCCCAGGCAGCCCTTGAGCCCTTGACAATCCTCCTGCCTCAGTTTCATAAGTGCTAGGATGATCGTTCATCTTTATGCGATGGAGTCTTGGAGGCAGTGTCTGGGTCCCCAGACATTACCCTGCACCTGGATGAGGCTAGGCTGTTTGGTTGGGGTAGGTGCGAAGGGAGGTCCCAGGGACCCAGGACACTGAATGCAGAGTGTGGACACAGAGTCCACCCTAGAGGGACTTTTGTGAGATGCTGACCTGTGCCCTTCCTTATTAGACAACGGCTGGGAACAAAGACGTAGGAAGCTTCACTGTGACCAGCAGCAAAGATGCCTTCTCTTCTGGGGTGGCTGGCATCATGGATACTGCAAAAGGAATGGTCCAGGGTGGCCTGGGTGCCACCCAGTCAGCCTTTGTGGGAACTAAGGAGGCAGTGTCTGAAGGTGTCATGGGAGCAGTGGGTATGGCCAAAGGTCTTGTCAAGGGAAGTTTGGATACCTCAAAAACTGTCCTTTCCAACACCAAGGACACGGTGGCCACAGGACTTATGGGAGCTGCAAACATGGCCAAAGACACAGTGCAGACAGGCCTGGACACGACCAAGGCTGTGGTCACGGGCACCAAGGACACAGTGACCGCAGGACTCACAGGGGCCGTGGATGTGGCCAAGGGGGCTGTCCAGGGAGGCCTGGACACCAGCAAGAGTGTATTGATGGGCACTAAGGACACAGTGGCCACAGGACTCACAGGGGCCGTG